ATATATCTATATATATACACTATATATATATATCAGGAGTAGATAATAGAGATAATTCCCTATTATCTACTCCTGATATATATAGATATATACAGTGTATATATATAGATATATACAGTCAAACGGTCATCTCTATAGAATCGAATATAAACTGTCTAGTTAATAATAATTAACTGACGAGATGTGAATAATATCATTACGAAACGTAACGTTTAATGTGTAAACGAGAAGAAAAAAATGTTTCACGAAATCCGCGGAACTTTTCTTCCTAGTTTCGAGTTTCGAGTTTCAAGTTTTCTGTGGTAGTACTATTCGTCCCCGCTTAATCGGGACAGTCCAGAGAAATGTCCCGTTTAAGCGGTGAACACAACAACGTGTGTGAGAATTGCTTTGTCGTTTAAGCGCTGCGCCCGTTTATCCGAGGTCCCGGTTAAGCGAGGACCACTGTGTGTAAAACCGAGGTAGTTGTAGCGACGGTACCCTTGTTGGTTTACTTAATTATTGGTTAATTAATTACACTGCTTAATTATTGATTAATTAACATACGCAAATAATGACGTAATCGGATAATCGAACGTTGAATGTTAGGTGTAACATAATCTTTGTAATATATATATATATTATGTGTCTATATGCGTCATGTAATTTCACGAAGGAAACGCCGGCTCGCTCCCGCGCCTGTCATCTAGGAATATTTGTTAGCTATGTTCAATAATGCTGTTTTATTTTACGTCGTTATGGGAAAAATGAAATAATAAATAACTACGAAATATCGTTGTCTTCGTTGTTGACGTCTGTGAAGAGGTGCTGGTGGAGAGGGGGTTGAAGACAAAATGAAAGAAGGTAGTATATGCACGCACGCACGCACGCACATATACATATATGCCACCCATACATATGCCACCCCACTTGTTGGCCCACTGCCGGTTCTTCTATCCATAAACACACCGCTCCTCGTAAAACAGCAGCCAATGCTACCTTGATAAATGTCTACATGGCCGTAGATTCGCGGGGTGGGGGGGGGGGGGGGAGTAGCTGCCCCCCTAGATTTTGGAACATAATCAGCTTAGCTAATAATCGTAAATAACCCTGACCTGTTTTTTTTTTGTACGCCAGTGCCACACTCTGCCTTCTTTCCCGATTCTTCCTGTTTTCCTCTATCTAGATTCGCGCCTGTCATACACCGAGTCTAAACCGGTTGTGTTACCGACGGGGTGGTCAAGGGGTAGTTGGGCCTACTCCCAGCGTGACTCATCCTCTGTGGCGTCAATCGTATATTGTGTCGCATTACAGTGACACAATGCCACACATGGGCATGTTTACCCCGGAGGATGCGGGGGGGGTCCGTCTTGAAACTCAGCACATCACTGCTTAGCATCAGGCGCTGCCCAAGGCCACACCTTGCTGCCTGCCAAGAAGTGGTCCACTAGCCCGAGTAACAGGCTAGGCCGGCGGGCTTATAATATGTGTGAGCGGCGGAGTGAGTGGCGGGTCTTCATCAGATAACAATCTTCACCGGTGCCGGCGCTGTGCCTGTGCTGCTGCTGCTACTACTACTGCTGCGTACTGCCTGTTTCTTCATGTGGCGCTTATTTCTTCGCAACAAGACCTCAGCGTGAGAGAACGCAGGTCGTATTATTCGGGCCTTACCGGTTCTTTTTTATAAATCCTCTTCTATATTCGTGTAAAGCAATAATCGATCGTAAGGATATCGATGTGTGTTGGGCGGCATAAGTGGAGTGGCCGAAGAATGTGTGGTGTAAGCGCACAAGGCACTTGGAGCGTTTCAATAAAATATATATAAACATATGATAAATTGTATACATAATCTATACAAATATACATAAAATATAAAAATAATATACTTTATGTGTTCAGCTGTGCACGCAAGCCATGGCGCGCAGCCACCGTTGCTTACAGATCAGCATTTGCCATGACGCGCATTTGCAGGAATGTTGTTGGCAAGTAAGTAGCGTGAAAGAGCAGGATATAGAACAGTTAAGACTTATTATTGAGGTATGTAAATAGATTTCCGATATTTATTTAGCATTATATTTTATTGTAAACGCTTGTCAAGTGCCTTGGAAAGCCGCAAGTAGAATGTGTAATGCCCCGTGTTTTTATTAACTCTGTATAGCGTACTATCAATCTAATGGTTTAATATTATAAAATTCAGCGTTTAATGAAAATGATTTTGATGCCCAGCTACGATCTATACAATCGATTTGTAGTCGACGGAGACTGCCTATATATTCTTTATTTCTTTTTTATTAATGCACATATTCTCTTGCTCGCTCGCTCTCTCTGAGTCCTCTCTCTTTCATTCTCTCTCTCTCTCTCATAAAATCTCTTCTCTCTCTCTCTCTCTCTCTCTCTCTCTCTCTCTTTCTCTGTCTAGTCTTCAAAACTATCTCTCCTTCTCTCTCTTTCATTTCTCTGTCGTCTTTGTGGCTCTTACGGATGCTATATAGCGCCTTAGTGCGTTAATAAATATGTATCTGACGATCGCTAAAGTGAATAAAAAAATAAAAAAAGTATATAATAAAATATTAAACATTAGCTGTAACAGCAAATATGTCGGATATACCTAACTGAATCTGCTTAACATAACGGCTTCTCTACAACCCACGGTGTCTACATATGGTATGATTAATGATTAATATGAGACTATCTGCTCTTTCAAACCCTGCATGGATATGTGGTTGTCACCAGACAAGCATGGCCCTGCAAGCAAACTCAGTGGCGAAGGAGCGAGTACTGCAGATGGAGACGGCGTCTGGGAGCTAATGCCTGGGACCTGCCAAATAGCAACTCGAACGCACGACAGAAATCCAGTCCAGACAAGTCAACTAATCGAAGTCTGCCCGCTACGGTTCAATACGTATCCACATGCAGACTGTAGTATATAATGATATGCTCGCATGAGTATATCAGCGAACACACACACAGGCTCTGCGCGTCGCCGACACACAAACACAACACCACACATACACACACAGACACGCACAACACACGCAGCGCCACAGCCGGCGCGCTCACAACAAACACACAACACACACACACAACACACACCACAAACCACACACACACACGCACAACACAACACACACACACACGCGCTGCGGCCGCACACACACAGACACCTCCAGTAGTCGCTGCCCAGACTCTTCGCTCCATACTTGCGTGACCACGACCCCCCCCGCCCCCCCCCGGCCGAGCCCGGGCGGGCGGGCCGGCGGCGGCGCGCCGCGGGCGGCGCGGCCGGCCGGCCCGCCCCCCGTAGGCCCGGGCGGACCCCGGCGGGCCACCCGCACCCGGCCACCTCCGGCCCCCCCCCGCCCCGCGCGGCCGCCCGGCTTACGTTTGAAACTAGAACTGGACCGGACCTCCACCCCTCCTACTTACTCGTCATAGGGGCTATTTCCTAGGTATGCCCGAAACGTGACAACTGCCCGTACGTCCGGTGTACGCGGAACGCTACCCTCCGGTAACCTATTTGATATGGTCTAGGGGTTAGGTTTAGGCGTTGGGGTAGGGTAGGCCGCACTCCCTAGACTCGTTAGAGCAGTAAGGCGAGTATGCGTCC